ACTAGATCCATGGGTTTTTAATCAAATAGTTTCAGGTCAATTTCATTTCGTTTTTGTACCTTTGCTTTAAGTGGCCCCGAGCGACACCAGTGTCGGAAATTAAAATGGCCCGCAGATCGATATATGCTGGGCATCACTGATCTAGAATCAATTTAGATGATGTTATAGATGTCTTTGCTGCACAGATAAAGAACGACTAGATGAATATATGACGATATATGAATTGAGATTTGCCACCTATGCATTATCTTGCCAATAAACAACGGTAGGCCAATTACTAATTAAAGGGTCTTAATGCTTTTTAAAAAAATAATTTTACTTATATACTGTACCAATTGGAATTTAGACATAGGCCTACGTTATCTCGTGTCATGGTGTCGAATATCAAAATGCTAGGGCCAATAAAAAGGCTAAGCCACCCGGGCCCCCAAATCCCAAGCTACGGCAGTGAGTGACTAGCTTTGTTTTTATCATATTCAATCCGAGGCCCACCGTCAAATATAGATATATTCTTGAACCCCGGTATTTTTGTATTCAGTATTTTTGTTGTTACATCAATACCTTATACACAATACAAAGGACACCAAAACACAGTGTTGAAGACTTCTGAGGGCGCAGTCGTTCTAACTGAATGTGTACAAGACGGTAAATGTATGCTGTTTTTAGATAGTGCAACTATAGAAAAAGACTTTAATGTCGACTCGTACAATTAATTCATGTATTTTAAAATGAACGTACTCCGTAATATTAAAAAAGAACAATTAAATAAAAACAAACATAATTTTATTTAGTAGAGTACTTTTATAATAGGGCTACATTGTTTACATAGTTGTTGATTATTTTTAAAAATGTAACACGTTAGAATTCATTGAATCATTTAATAGATTTCATACTATACGGCCACCTTCAGTCATGAAGCAACTATGGATCGATCATCTGATAGAAATGAGATGACTGCCTGGGCATTAGCTAAAGTCTGAATGATATCACCCACACAGCAAAAGAGCTGAAGAATCCAAACGAATGGCAAGAGCTGATACAGTTTGGAAACAGCGGCGTCTCAGGCTCTGCCAGGGTGTAGCATTGTGTGCTGCAAACTACCTTTGAGTCGCCCGCTCCTGATCTTTTTCCACAGGGTTGACTTCCGAGTTTGTGTTTTTGGCACATAGGCACAATTTAGGTCATGTCGTACCCGTAATCCTTCAAGGATCACTCTCTTTTACAAGAGCTAAATTTCATACAGTTAAATCATTAAAAACAAGGTCTATTCACAGTTAAAATAGTAGTAAAATTTTAAATAATTAGTAAAAATCTTACGTAAATATTATAGGGTTACAATTTCACAAATGAGATCTTCGTAGTTAACCCCACCTCCCGGACAAAGCCCAATATCTTCCCTGAGTCGACATTGTCGAAAAGTGTTTTTAAGTTGTGCGCTCTAAAAATTTTCCCCCTAACATCCTTGTATCTGGGGCAATCAATGAGGATATTATCCACAGTGAGGCGAGAGTCACAGTACTCATAAAGTGGGGGCTCCTCTTTCTTCAGCACAAAGGAATGCGGGATGTAGGTGTATCCAATCCTAGGTCTGGACCACGCCTTGCACTTTGATGTGAGCCGCCACCTGACATCCACCACAAAGCCTTTCCCATATGTGACTATAGATGCAAGCATTAGATGTTTGAATTATGAGATTTCCTTCTCTTAGGTGGGTAGAATTAAAGACTAACAAGCCACTCCTACCCAAAGGTTACTGGTTTAAGAGCCAGTTACTCGCATTTGCCCCTTCCCCTGTCAGTAACAACAGTTCCAATTCATACTACAGTAATAAGATTCACATTGATTTGTTGTTTTGCTCTTTTGATCAATAGACTAAACCAGAAATTTAAGAACGATAAATATGGTTTAAAGTAATATTATGGTATAATTTGAAACATTTAAATTCTTACAGCTAACATAAAAAACAACAACTTACAATTGTGTAACAGCCTGTTGGGCCCCCTATTGGTCGTGGGCCTGGGCGCAATAACCCCTTGGCGCTTTGGTTGCTCAAATAAACAGGAGGAGAACAATTACTAACTACCTCAGAGGAGAAAACATAGGTGCCAAACCAACCTCTTCAATATAGCATATGCAGATGGCAATGTCGTATTGGGTAAAGAAACCCCTGACATTGCTAGAGCGTTCACACAACTGGATAAAGCATCTCGACCAGCAGGACTTAAAATAAATGACACCACCACCAAATATGTTCTAACGACAAGGGAAAATTAGGCAAAACATTGTAGTACAATTAATAACCACGAGTTAGAAAACGTAGAAACATTTAGATATTTAAGAAGCGTGATACATAAAGGAACGACTAGCAGCAGAGCTTTCTTTAACACACAACACATTGAAAAGCAAACCTAGAAGAAGACAAACCCATCCATCAGACCGATAGTCGTATATAGGCCTACAAGCGATACATAGGCGCCGACTAAAACCACAGAAAATCTGCTAAATACTTCGAAAAGAAAAAGTTATGGGTGGAGAATTCGTACCAACCAAGAAATATACCTGCTGTATGAAGACCCCTCCGTAGTGACCTAAATAAAAAGGAACAGATGACGATATAGGCAGGTCACATGCCAGAGAACACAAGACTCATCAAAAATATGCAGACACTCTATAAGGTTCTATTTTTATAAACACGTTAATATTCTTATAACGAATGTACGGTCATAATAAGAGTTGAAACACTGTACGTCTATATTATCCGGCTTCCTATTGTCAATTTTTCTATTAATACCCAAACTGTACAATTTGTCATTCACACAATGCTGCGCTACGACTGTAGCAAGGATTGTTCACAGCAAAAAACATAATAGCCGACGAGTAGGCCTACGGTGACTTGACAACGAGACAGATCTACAACAGCTAAAGTCCGGGCATGGAGACGTACATGACAGGATAGATCAGAATGGAGAGCAGGCCACTGGGATGTTGGTTGCTTTCGTTGCTACGCCACTATTTATTTCCTGTACCGGTATTCCGAACTTGAAACTACAGCGCTATGTCCTATTTTTCTACCCAAAAAAAAAAGACATCAAATATAAAATGTTAGTCACCCTTTATATTTATTGAAAGAGTTCTAATCTCGACCCCACAAAAAAAAAAAAAAAAAAAAAGGCCACGACAATGACATAGCGATTACTTTGGCTTTAGTTAAAAACAAAAATAACGCAAAACTAAGTCACGAATTCCCAATTTTGGCTACGCCGCTACACCCATGGATAATCTAAGCTATTAGCCTAGATTAGTCTATATAGGTTATTAAGATCTAGACTAATACCTACTAGACATAGAATGATCTAGTGCTAGAAATAGAATTTAGAGGATCTATCTAGATATGTATATACCTCTAAAGTGATTTTTAATAAGCTCGAATTTATAAAAAAAAATTTCAAAACAAGTCACGAAATTCTTGTATTTTGTATCCAATATTGCAGATTAGCGTGATCTTTAACCGCTCGTAGGACAAGGGGGAGAAAAAGGATTTTTTAGGCAATTGTGCACAAATGTGGGCTGCCTGAACCTTGAAACGTTTTGTATTTACAGAATTGTAATCATCAGTAAATGTATTTATTTTGACCCCCCCCCCCCCCCAAATTATTTAATGATTACCGGTACCAATAGGCATCCATACTTTAAAAAAAATAATGCATTCTAAGATTGTAAGCACAATTCCAGAGAAAAAAAATTACTGATCATAACTTTCATATTTTGCTTAAAGGATTTACTTGTAAATTTTATTTCCTTAATGCACTGCTGCCATCAGAATTAAAATTTTTAGAAATATTTTGTAAAAAAAAAAATAATTTTTTGTTGAAAACAAAATTTCCTTGAAATGTCAATGATAAAACAATTTTGGAAATTAAAACAAAAAAAAAAAAAAAAAAAAAAGCATTTGATTATCCAATTAATTGGGTACTTTATGAAAGTAAATGATTTAAAACCAGAAGAAGGAATAATTGACACCAACACAAATCACAAGTCTAACTAAAAATTTTTGAAAACATTTATTACAACATCTATACAACAGTTAAGCCATCTTAATATCTAAATGAAATTTGAAACTTATTTAACTAAGTGATTTACCTATGACAAATGCTCAACCAATTTCTGATATATGAAAAAATAAAAAATGATGGCAATTAGATTACATCACTAGAAACTATCACAGATAATGTAATCTTTTATAAGTTTTAAAATGATTCAATGGCAGGAATTTGGTACAGTGATTAGTTCAAAATAAATTAAGTTAGCTAACAAAAATGAAAACAAATCTTAATATTTGGCAACAGGAGGTGGTGGTACACTAGTAAATGATCCTGGAGCAGCTTTAGCTCCTTGATTCCACTGACTTTTAAATCCATTTACTGCTCCACTTTGAAATGGCTTTTGACCCACATTTTGTGCTCCTGTGTTGCCTCCACTGTATCCATTCATGTTGTTCATATTCTGAGGCTTGTATCCACCAGCACCATAGCCATCTTGTGATTTGTATCCACCAGAGCTGTAATTGTTCTGAGACTTGAACCCTCCACTGTAGTTGCCATTGTTTGAGAATTTGTTTCCTCCACTGTTAAATTTGGAGCCTGAGTTAAACTTTCCTCCTATACCACCTCCACGCCCACCTCCCCACCTACTCCTGCCTGAAAAAAAACAAAGCCAAGTTAGGTTAGATTATATGGCTTCAATGAGATTTCTAACTTAAAAAGAAAAAAAAAAAAGCAAGCAACAAACCTGATTTAAAATTCTTAGAACTGTCTTCCAGCTGCTGTAGTTTAGGATTAATTATCTGTTTGGCTTCTCTCAATACATTCACCAGATCTGATGCTTGTTTAGAGTTGTTTGGAGTAAAAAATGTGTACGCTGTTCCTGTATTTGTTGATCTCCCTGTACGTCCAATGCGATGAACATAGTCTTCAGAACAATTAGGGTAATCAAAGTTGATAACAAATTTGATATCCTCCACATCTGCAATTAATGATGATCATGATTACAAAAAGACTACTAACAAAAGAACTAAATTTCCTACACTAACCTTATAGCTATGAAAGTTTAATTGAGCCCTCCCCCCAAAAAAAACTTTGTAGTAAGAGCGGTTAAATTAAATGACCATAACTTCCTGACAATTTTTTAAAGCAGTATTTTTTTTTTCTAAAGCCCACAAAATTGTGTCTTAACACAGAGATAGCGTTGAACTCTCTCGAGTGCTTTCCAAGCGTTTTCACGAACTGGTGGCAATACTTTATATATTTTATGGTGGTGTTAATGTTCCAAAGCAGCATCACTTTTAGATACAGACTATCTTAACATTGACTAACAAAGTATACTTGTGACCTAACCATTGATGTATATCCTCTATAAAAACTGTGATGACTACTATCATATTGCTCACCACCCCAACGTCATTGCCACTCAGTACTTACGCCCGGTGTGCACTACCTGGCCAGCCCATTGCTCCAAAAGAAGCTTAAAAGACTGGCATTGGCATCGAGATTATTATGAACGCCACTCCCTGTCAGTGCCCACAGTGGGAAGATCGTACTGTATGCCTATCAGTCAGCTTCAGCCATCAATCACCGCTTCCTTATATCACACTAGGATTAAAATAAAAAGTAAAAAATGTAATTATATTTAGGAAAGATGTGTTGCCACATCAAACTAAAAACAACTCAGAGTGTAGAACAAGTCTTTGAAAACAAGAAAAAAAAAATGAAATTAAACAAATGAACACCATAATCTTTTTGTATCAATTCCTGAAACAAAAAAAATTCTATAATTTCAATTTTTCTTTATTAAGCAAATAAAAAAACAAAGAAAAAAAGATTTACCTAATCCTCGAGAAGCTACATCAGTTGCTATCAAAATGGGATTTCTACCATTTCTAAAGTCTAAAAGACAAAAAAAAACAAACAAACTATAATACACTGGGTAACAAGTATTTCTAGACTAACTTGCATTAAAAGGAAACATTATTTTTACCATTTAAAGCCCAGTCTCTTTCTTGTTGGGACTTGTCACCATGTATACTTATCACTGGCCATCTAGAATAAAAGTTTTAATGAATTTTTTTTGGGTACAGTTTGCACTACTTAACTTCATAGCAACTAACTGTAGGTAAGGCTAATTATTGACTAGAATAAGCATGGAAGAATAAAGGAAACAGCAGGAATTTAACTGCTAAATAATTTCATTTATCATTGAGTAGATGATTTGTAAACCATGTACAAATGCCGCAATTGTAGAGTTACATACCCATCTTTTTTCATCCTCCTGGATATATCATCTGCTTTACGTTTTGTCTCCACAAATATCAATGTTTTATTTTCTTTCTCTTGCATTATCTCATTCAGAAGTTTAACTAGCCTAATAAAAGTAAAAGATATTTTTTTTAATGATAATTGTCATTTTAATTAATCATAATTCAAACCACTGTATAAACTACTTACTTCTGTATTCAAATCACTGTATTAACTACTTACTTCTCTATTCAAATCACTGTATTAACTACTTACTTCTCTATTCAAATCACTGTATTAACTACTTACTTCTCTATTCAAATCACTGTATTAACTACTTACTTCTCTTCTTTTTCATGTTCCATGCAAACATCAACAATTTGTAAAATATTGTGGTTAGCTGTGAGTTGCAGGGCACCAATGTTCACCTGGATGTAGTCGTTCAAAAATTCCTCTGCAAGCCGGCGAACTTCCTTGGGCCACGTAGCACTCCACATCAAAGTTTGGCGATCAGGCTACAAGAAGAATCAAAGTTTAGAACATTCTTCAATGTGTAACTTTGATTAAAAAAGCAGTATATTGATTTCTAAAAAATATCACCTACCCTGATCTGCTCAAGAATTTTTCTTATTTGAGGCTCAAATCCCATATCTAACATTCTATCAGCCTCATCTAAAACCAAATAGGTAGTACGTCTCAGATTTGTTTTTCCTGCTTCTAAAAAGTCTATCAGTCGCCCAGGAGTTGCTATGCAAATTTCAGCTCCTGTTAAGTTTAAACAAAATTGTTAACAGCTGCATAAAAAAAAAAAATATGCATCAATTTTACTTAAATGACTACAAATCTATAAAATACCTCTTTCAAGATCTCTAAGTTGGGGGCCTTTAGGTGCTCCTCCATAAACACAAGCAGAACGCAACTGTGATGACCGTCCAAACTCATTGGATACATCGAGCACTTGTTGAGCCAACTCTCTTGTTGGTACAAGTACCAAAACCTATAACGTTAAGTAATCATTAGTTATATCATAAGCTCCAATTGAAAATAAAAATGACAATGTTACCTAAAAATTATATTTTTAGCAACTAAGATAGCTCATTACATTTTTATGGTTGATAGCTCTAGGCACTTTTTTTTTATTTGACAAAATAAAATATATAATAATAATAATATATATAAATATATATTATATATATATATAAAAAAGAATTAGGAATCCACTATAACTACTGCAATGTATTGTATTAGAACTTACAATGGGTCCATCTCCGTGCTCTAAGTAAGGCTGATGATTGACATGAACAATTGCCGGGAGCATAAACTGAAACAAAAAATGCATTTATTTTCCTCAAATCACTTTAAAATAAAACACATTAGCTTAATTATGTACATCTAATGTTCCATTTTGTATACCTTTATATCCAAACAAAAAAAGATATAAAGGAAAGTTTTGATGGAAATACTGTTGCAGCACACTTAAAACTTTACTCAAAAAAAAAAAAAAAAAAAGCAAAGTTTTATAACAGTGATGTTGCCCCAGAAACCTCTAAGGGCTCAAGGATAATATTACATTTACAACTGATACATCTAACCATAAGAATAGAAAATACCCCTAATGTTTTGCCTGATCCAGTCTGAGCAATCCCAACCAGATTTCTACCAGAAAGAGCAATTGGCCAAGCTTGGCTTTGAATAGATGTAGGTGCCTGCCAGCTATTTCTTCTGATCTGATTCATAACATAGTCTAGAGAAAAAATAAGTAAAGTACTGGTACAGTTGGAATATAAAAAAGTTTATACACAAAATTGAACAGAAAAAAAACATTCAAAATGAATGAAAGTAACAAACCTGGAAAATTGCCCTCTTCAAAAGTAAAAATAGGATTAGGAATATCTTGACCACAAATTGTTATCTGCTTATCTCTATGAAATTGTTGAATTTCAATCTAACATTGGACAAAAATACAAATAACTATTAATTGTTTCTAGTACATGAAAAAACAATTTAAATTTGAATTACTAAAAAATGAACATGTTTTACCTACAAGACTAATGCTGTGAAAAAAAAAAAAAAAATTTAAAAAAAAAAAAGGGTGGGTGGGGTGGTTACATGGATATTTTAACTTTTATACTAGAAACAGGTTAAATGTTAAATATTTTGCCCTGAGACATTTAGTCATTTTATGTGATCCTTGCAAAATCCATTCATTATGGCAGTAACTGTGGTAAAAGCTTTTAAATATTAGTTACTACACTTTTTAATATTAGGCTATATACACACATATTAGTTTATAGTAAGTAAATTTTTAAGCTGATTCCATTTAAAACAAAATAGGTTATTTTCACTTTTTTTTTCAGTTATAAGTATATCTATTGAAACATGACCCATGTTTTTTCACTTAAAATTTTTACTTAAAAAAGTAAATAGTTGGAAACTGCTGTAAACAATCTAAAAATAGTACAAAGCTAGAACCTAGGGCAGGGGATATTCACGCAAGGGAAATTTCTGAACGTGAAATTGTTAAGTGTGCAATTCTGTATAAAAACAATGAAATAATTGTCGCTGTGTTTGTATGTGGCATCACACAAAACTATTTAATCTATTGACTTACTGTATAATGGAAAACCATACAGCGAAGTTTACGATCACGTAAAAGAAATAGATCTAGGTCTATGCAATTAAATCTAGATCTTGTAAGAAAAAATGTGTTAAAGCATCAACATGCTTAGAATAACCATTGCAGTGTGTATTTTCTCGCCTCACCACTCAATACACAACACACTATCGCTTGGTTGTCTTGTCATGACTGACTACATGCAGCCTAGGCTAGCTCTACACTGACCAGTTTGATAGAATCAGAAACAATTTTTTTGGGACAGGGAGGGGTGTATTTGAAAATGTTTTTTTTCTCAGTGGATTTCCTAATGCTCTTAGATCTCTCTCTCTATAAAAAACAACTAAGAATGAAGCAGTACGATTGGTTAGATCTAGATTAGCTTTTAGTATTGTTGAGAAAATTGATATATGCCTAACCAGCCTAACCTAAAAACAAAATTTAAGAATCGTGTTTTTAAAGATGTGTTATTAAATAAAGATCTTTTGGTCAGTCGATATCAAAGCTAAAATCTGTAAATCTAGGTATCTAAAATATTCTTTCAAATAAATATACTTAATTCTAAATCTTAAATCTAAAGATTCTTTTTCTAATATACACTATTGCTTTATTACTAGATAGATCTAGATCAATTTAAAAGCTTAATGTGTTGAAAACTTGACAACCAGGAGCTTTTTTCTTTTAGAAAAAAATTGTTTTTCGTAATTTACTAATATTTTAAAATTTTAATTTCATTTTGATTTGCCACTTATAAATTAAAATTCCTCCTTTAAAACAGTACAATTTGATATATACTTTTATATATGTATTCACAATAGTTTTTGAAATATTCACATTAAAAAAAATTTGCTTCACTTTTTTTTATATTTCTCCATATAAAGTCTATAGGATGTCAGGACGCTTCGGACAAACTTAAAATCACTAACTTTTGAACTAAAATGCTAGCATAATAAATTTGGTGGTGTTGGAAAGCATTTTTCATCCTCTTTCATTCAATTAAACTGTTGGTATAGGATTAATTTAAATTTTTTGCTGCAACTAATTTAAATAAAAAATGGTAAAATTATAACTTTTGTGCATAATTTAAATATAGATAAATTTGAAAAACCACCAGTTTCCTTTTAAGCTCTAAGCCAGAAGTTTGGAGCTACTTTACTATTATTTTACATTGTAAAGTCAAAAAGTGTATTGATATTCTTTAACTTATAACTATGCAGCCTGATGGTGTGATTTGCTATTGATGGTCCCCAATTCAAATCAAACCTAACGCATGTGGGAGGTTTGGGCTAGAATCTAGATCTAGAATAATAAATGTAAAAATCAAAATTCTGAAAAAGCAAACAAACATGAAATGTGCAAAAAAAAAAATCTAATTACTCTTAAATCTAATCTGTAGATCTAGAGAGAGTATACATCTAGATTAGCATTAGATTTCTGTCTGAAAACTTACAGGTGATCTATTAGCTACAGCTGGATGTTCCTTGTAAAAGTTTTTTTCAAACTTAGGCAGAGCAGACATATCCCATTTGGGTTTTCGTAGTCCTGCACCAGGCTGACTTCCTTTCATGGAATTACGAAAGGATCCACCACCTGATCCTCCTCCTCTGCCTTTGAAGCCATCACGTGGACCTCCATACTTTGATCCAGCATCACTTTTAGTTTTAAAAAAAATACAAAAATAAAATAGGCCATGAAAACTATCAATAAAATATAGATGTAGATTTTCTGTCATGTAATCTAGACTAGACCTGTTATCAGTATCTTGAAAATAAACAAAAATCTCAGATGATAATGACAACGGTACTATATTTGATCATGATTGATCAATTTGATAAGCCTAGCCCAAAATCGGGTTATAAAATGGCCGCCTATGAAATGAGTGAATTTTCATTTAGAACTAGACATACCTTTTAGGTCTAAATATCTATTTTACCTTAATTTCTAAATGTATTAGCTACTTAACATACCCTGTTCGCCTATCTCTAGAATCAAATCTTCCTTTA